GTCCTGTCACCACCATTGCTCCCAGGTCAGCAACATAGTTCCCCTTCCGGAAGGTGGCAACTCTTCCTCCCACCCGGTCCTTCCAGAGACACAAAGTATTACACCTCTGGGAACACTGGGCAACACATCTCACTTAAATAGAACGACTGAAAGTCCTGCAGAATGTGGCATGAATATTCTCTTACCCAAAGGTTCAATACACAAAGTGTACACTCTTCTAAGGATCTCTGCAAATGAACACTTGATATCCATTAATTTGCCTAAGTTAAGGAATGAAACATTTAAGTTGCATTTGAAAAATAAAAGAAAAATAAAAACTATGCCTAGCCTCATTTGGACAGATTCAACTGTATCTACAGTAGGATCTGCTGTGATTCTAAAACAAATCCTTCATTCTGCATGGATAGATTAAGTTTTGTACTAGATTTCCTTCTCCCAGTTCCTCCCACAAAATCCACTGGCTATGAAGGGAATGATTCAGCTGTGCTTGAGAAAACAGAATTTTAGGGTTAGAAAAACCATCGGCCAATTATTCCTATTCTCCACAAAGGAGGTAGCTATCAATCAAAAAGATAAACATGAATCAACAGTTGACTTAAGGATGACACATTTTCCTACCACTTTAAGGTGAATGAGGAAGGAAAAAGCTGCCTTTCCCCATTCCCACTCCAGAGCAGGGTGATACGAGAGAGAAGCACCAGCGGCAATTTGGCAAAGAGCCCAACTCCTACCAATGCATAAAAAAAGTGTAAATTTGACTTCAGTAATTAACTCAGCAATTCAGAAGGATGTAAACTAATAGTCTAAAAGTTACAGAACATGAGTGGACACAAAAAAAATCTATCACCTGAATTGCTGAAATCATAATGTAAGAAAACATCAGACAGCTTTAAAAAATACAAATTAAAAAAAACAGACAGACTGCTCAAGAAAAGATGCAGCAGTCTAGAGAAGAGTGACTGGAACAGTATTGTGCAGTATGTTAAAATAGCCTCTTTACAGATCTACATCTTGGTTATAACAGAGATGCACAGAACAAAACCCAGGTTACAGCATGGATTCTCTTCCAGCTTCAGCCCTCCTAAAAAAACCCAAACATACACACACCCCCAATACATTCAGGAGAGCAAGAGACTCCTAAACAATTTGATGTTGCACTCTGCTTTAGTGGAAGCCATGAAGCTCTTGCTCCCTAGAGCAGCAGCTAGCAGAATGCAGAGCCTGAAACAATGCTCTTTAATAAAAAGTTTAAGCAGATGAAAATAATCTGTGCTAGAAAAGTAAACATACAAACAAGATGAACTCGGGAAGTAAAATAAGACAAATTCCAATGTAATGGGTCAATGGATTTATTAATTTTAAAAGCATATCAAGCTGTTCTCAATTGATTAGATTTATGAAAAAAAAACCACAAATACAAGAAGGCTCCACTTACAACTGGATATAATACCTTAATTACTGGAAGAACAATCAGCTAGTTCATGCACCTCTATATAACTTTAAAGTCTGTTAAGCACAGGGTAATTAAACAAGGAAAGAACTAACCTAGTCTTAAAAGGTAGAAGAAAAATATCCTGCTTGATGTGGCATGCCAATTCTGAATGATGCTATTTGATGGGCAATTTTTGAACTATAGATTTAATTCTGCTTTCCAGTGAAAAATCAGTTTCCTAACCATGAAAGGTAGAAGATTCCAGCTTGTTACTGGTGTAAGCCTGTGACACTAGCACCTAACCATAGAGTCCACCCCTGCAGAAGCACCAACCAGCTCCCTGTGAGAACAGACCCTCATTTCCTACCAAATGTGGTCACTGGTTAAGTTTCCCTTTAGAAGTAAAGCAGCAGAAATTCATACCCTGGCTTCCAGAACTGTGACATCCATTCCAAAGCTCTGCAACTGGCGAGCTGCTGCCAACCCAGAGACTCCAGAGCCAATGATGATCACCTTTCCAGTCTTCTTGGCTAAGGAAAGGAGAAAATAAGCTCAGGCTCTGTATGTGGATGACTACGTTGTTAAGTGGTCATGTAACAGTTGCATTTAAGTGATACCAAGAACAAAAAGCAGCTTCCTTCTCATTGGTACTTCTGACAGAACAAACTCTTTAACAAAACAAATTGCCACAAAATTATGTACATAATATGGTAACAGTGAAACACTTCACATTCTTAGTGAGATAAGTACAAAAAAAACCCAAAAACAACACTAGTGCCTCTGAGACAAAGAAGAAAATAGGAGGAAAAATACTTCTGAAGGACAATGGTTTGAAGAAGAAACTGATTCTTATTAATTACTGTGGGACAAATTATCAGGTTTGTTTCTTTCTGCCCCAGAATAAAACCTATAAAGGACAAACAAGTTCAGCGTTTGTAAAATTCAAGCATCATATAAGCAAAACCAGACATAAGCACTGCATTGTGTTTGTATTCTGTTATTCAAACAAGGAATAAGGAGAAACAAACAGTGGCAGTCATCAAATTATCTACAGAAGAGTCACAAACATTTCCTTTCTGAAAGTGATTTACTTAAGTACATGGCTTCTCAATGACAAAAAACATATCTGTAGCTAGATGGCTTTCTAGTCTTTCTAAAATTCTCAGTACTGCAATCCCAAAAAAACACCTTGCCACTCAAAATTTTATCCTAAGAAATCACAGAAATATAAAACTAAACTTCAATTAGAAAAAAAAAAAAAAAGTCAAGTTTCTTACTGGGAAGGGGCTTCACTCTTTTGTAGATACCAAAGTTGATCAGCCCATGCCGCTCCAGGTAGCTGTGTACTCTGTGGACAAGGACTGTATCACCTAAAAAATGACCACATTTTAAGATTATTCTGTATGTTCTGCAGCAAAACATATTCACAAGCAAATGTGTCACAGCAGCAACCCAGCCCAGTCACACTGAGCACATCCCTTCCTGCATCCCCAGCTGCCCTGCCACAGGCTGGTTTGTGTGTCATACTGTGCATCTGAAAACTGCCTGAAAAGCTGCACGGGCCCTAAATGTTTCTGTTTATCCCATGTGGAAGAGAACCTTTTCTGGAATTAACTGCAGAAATCTGGGGAACTTTACACAAAACTGCAATGTAATTAGCCAGTGTTAAGCCAACCCATTACTGGAGCACTGAACACTCACTTATTTTTATAAACACAACTATTCACTCTTTTGCAGTACTTGACAGTGTATCTGTGTTCCTCTCATCATTTTCTTCTTCTTTAATTATTTTTTATTCACTGCTCTGCTCCACCCTTCCCAAGTTTCCTGGGATCTTTTCTGAGAAGGGTGGAGTGGCCTACATTTGCAAGCAGTAACTCCTTGCTCTTTCACTGCCTTCTTTCACCAGAGCCAGTCTGTTCCACTCTTGTGCAACTTTTTAATGCCTCTGAGAAAAGTTATGATTAAGAAAATCTCACAGCTGCAAACCACTGTGAAATGGCAGCAAACATTTAAAGCTGCATGTGAATCCACCTGCAGGAAACTTCTGCAACAACCCATCTTTTTACCAGCTTTTTCTGAATTCTGCCAGGGATATGCTTCTTTACCAGACAAATGAACTCTAACAACCCTGAAGCATCAGGTTCAATATCCCATTCTGCACGTGAATGCTCACAGAGCTCCACTAACAAAAGGACCCCTCTGAAGCACTCTCTTGACTCTGAGCTTTTCCCCAGGCAAAACTGAAAGATCTGTACAGTACGGTTTTGTCAGCAAAAGTTTTGACTTACTGTTATAGGGTGCTTCTAATTGCTGGATAGTTGTCTCAAATGTCAGCTGAACCTTTGGGTTATCCAACCAGAGCTGCAGCTGTATTTAAACAAATAAGACACATTATATAAAGCAGTACAAAAGAGGCATTTTCCACGTGTGTTGTTGCCAAATACTGTCAGTAGATGAAACCCTCTAAGTTAAACTTTAGCAGTGCTACCCAAGCTGTTATGAAATTTGCCTTCCAGTGGTTCTTTAAGTCAGTCCATTTTAACTTCCTATACCATTTGAAATAAGTTGAAATGCATCAAGTTAGTGATCATCTAATCACATACAAGAAAACATACACTGAAAGAAGGAAAGCTACAAAATGCTTAGATGTACAGCCTTCCTTCTACCTGCATGGCAAGGGTCGTCTGTGATTACAATTGGGCTTGCAACATCAGACAGCATCTGACATTTTACTTACCATGTCATTCATTGAGCTCTTGATTCCATTTGTTACCATGCAAATTGAAAATATCAGACTTACTAGCTTACTAGCTCCTCTAACCTCCAGGAACTCCACATGTTCCTGCCCACTTCAAAATGTTCAAACCTCTTGGTACTGTGCCAGCTATAAGTAAGAGGATTCATCCTGCAGTCTGCAGCTCTTCCAGAGCTCTGCTGAGCACTGGGCTTCCATTACCATCTGCTTCACCTGCTGTTCTTCATCTGCAGAACCTCTGCCATCCTGACTGGAGGAGGTCACAAGTCTTCCTCAGAAAGGGATCCTGTTTAGGAACTTCTCAGGTCCTCCATAGCAAATAAGGACCAGAACCCAGCAATGCAGTATTCTAGTGCAGCCCTGCCAATACCCCTTCCAAACAGTCCTTTAAATCCCAGTTATTTGTTAGTTTCAGTGGGAAGCTCTTCTGTTTCTAAGGTGCTTTTAAAAAGATTACTCACTATATACATCTTGAGAAAACTGTTTTTAAAACTTTTTGGCTTGCCTTACTCTGTTCTTACACATCTCACAGCTTGCCAAAAGTTACAACTTAAGTTAACTAGGGGGAGATTTCACAGGAATAGCAGAAGTCATGCTTTTATCTATGGTAGACATCCACATGCTACATTTCAAATAACTTATTTTAAGTTAAGCATTAGATGCTGCCATGGTTAATGCAGGGTGATGCTCTCTGCTCATCTTAAGTCTGTGCACAAAACCAAATCTGAGTAAGAGGTTTTCTCGTTTAACTGGTAACACAGCAAAATATTTCTTGTGTTCCTACTATTAATTCTTCTAATATGACCTAAGTTTTCTAAAACACTCTTTTCTAAGCACAGGAGAAAACCCTGAACCCTGTCTGAGTGCTGAGGAACCTAAAGGCATTGTCACAATTTAAAAGCACTGTCTGCAAAACAATACTACTGCTTAAAGTTTTATTAGGGTTTAAGCTTCAAGCACGCTTGCCAGAACACAAGTGAATTAACTTCCCAATGAATCATTTGAATATTGCCCCTCCTTTCCTTATTTCAAATTGCATGGAATTTCTGAATTAGGCAGAAATGCTGCACACATCCAGGAGCAGAGTTTCATTTCTTCATTGTTAGTTTTGTTTCTGAAATCAAAGCTGGCAAAGCAACTATTCTGTGCTCAGAATAGCCACGTGACCAGCTCGGAGTCTCAATGTCACAGCAACTGAATGCTAAGCGAAGTGAAAGAACAGAAGCTGAGAGGTTTGCCTCACAGAATAAGGCAATGTGCAATGCTTCCTTCTAAGTGCTCATGTTAAAGCTGCATTTAAGAGATACCAAGAAGATGCTACTCTTTGTTCGATTATTATTTTTAAGTATTCTTCAGAGCTGTTTAAGCTGAGATCAAGTTATAGAACATTAGCACCAGCTTTGTTTGTTCGCTTTCTAAAAGCAGCGTTAGCTGAAACGTGTAGTTTTGATGGGTTTTATGACTGTTTTGCACATTGTAAAGAAACTACAGATTCTTTATGCTGCCTTACACCACTAGCTCCATCAAGAGATGGAGGATACCTTTCTTAACTTAGAAGCACATCAGAATACCAGAAATGAACCCCCACCACCTTAAAAACAAAACAATCTACCCACCATTAGACACAGCAACAGCCAAAAAGTCTTTGCAAGGTTCACAAACACACAAGGTACACCCTTTTTCCATCAATACTTTCACAGTAAACTTACGGTGCGGTTCCTGATGTACAGAAACACCTTCTGAGTCTGCTGTGGCCCACTGATTATGTCAGGGAAGCAGGCAGCTTCTTGAGACGTCATACGGTCGTGTGGAAGTCTGCTCTGAAAAGCTGCACCCTCCACACCTACAACAGAAAGACAGGTTGTCTACAGGCACTGCTCCATGTGTGTTTTGACAGTCCCGTTCCTAGCCAGTGTATCCAGCCATGAGATGACATGGTGCCCAATTTCATGTCAGGCTTTCATCTAGTCCTTTTACTTCTGCACGGCATACAGGGTCCCAAGTCAACAGTTCTTTGAATTACAGGTATCACCTAGGGTTAATGAAAAAGTTATACTATGAGGGCAGGGGGCACACAAAAAAAAACCCAAAACCTTGAAAAATCAGGGGAGCAGGGGCACGTATAAATAGCAGAATATTATATATAACATACACAGAAAATGTCACATCTATAAACCACAACTGCTTTAGATGCTGTCCTTCATTTGTGTGGCTTCCAGTTTCTACCAGAACTTGAAAAACATTTTGGAACCTGTTCAAAGCCAAAAGATCTGTAAGATACAAGCACAATGCCTACAGTCTCTTCTCACCAAGGTGCCTTTCAAGGTTTTATTTGCATTTAACTCCTTAGGCTAGAGGAACCTACCTAACTTCTCCTTCTGCCTATTTTATAGATTGACAACAGGCAGTACAATCAACAGCTATGGATTTCTGACTTTACCTTTTAAATGCTCTACATGCAAAAGACTAATGATGAACATATAAAGGAGACACTGTCTGTATGGAAAGACTCCCTTTACAAAGGCACCTGTACTTGTATCAATTCAAGCACTGGCAATGAGGTTACGTATCCTGCATTCCTCAATCTCATTTGAATGTTATAGAATATAAAACAACAAGCAAATACACAGCTGCATAAAGTGCTACAGCACAAGCAGAGGGCAGAAAGTGAATCCTGCAGGCATTGCAAGCAAAATGAAATGACAAGATGTGAAATGCAGCAAGAATAAGAAAAATCTCTGCCCTATGAAGTGAACTTAAGATTAGGACAGACAGAGGAGAGGAGATTCAACCTGGAAAGATAAGGCAGCACACCCCAAGGGGGAAAAAAACCACAAGTAATGCAGTAAGATCATTTGCTGAAGCTGGAACGATTTGAAAGATTGTAATAAGTATCAAAGACAAATAAAACCTTGCAGTGTGTTACACTAAGACAACTACCTGGAAGTTTGAAGCCCGTGTGCAGAGGCACACATGTCACTGCACGTGGGAGAGGAATTGTCTCCTTTCAGTTCTGGTGCAACCATACACATCTTTAACTTCCAAGTATTTTTACATCCCAAAGGGGAAGAAAAAAGTTTAAGCAAGGAAATGGTTGTAAAGCTAAAAAATTCCATTCACAAGCAAATATTAGAAGATGTGTGATTACTCAAGGTAAAGAAAACTGTCTATAATCATTTGCAGGGATTTTACAACAAGAGGAAATCAGTAACAGAGGCTACAGAGCACTGCAAGAAAATAAAATGAGATTAACAACAGGGAAAGCTGTCACACCCATAACACTTCTTGAGACTAATATTCAGGTATAAAATAGAAGCCTGTAGCTCTGCTAGAATGTCTGCTCCAGTAACAAACATCACTCAGCCCTTCTGTTGTCTTGGGTCTAACCCTGGACCAACTGTGCAACATCTACATTTGAATGCACAGGCTAAACTATGAACTCGGTAAAACTGCCTATAAATCAAAGTTAACAATTCTCATACTTTATTAATTACAGTTCTAGATGATCAGAGTGTTAGCAAAAAGCTCAGCACCACAGTTTTCAGAGAATGGGCAGTTGAAGATTTGAAAAGCTGAACCCAGCTCCCTGAAGTGCTGGGGTCCAAACCCTCAGCCCTGAATCAGGGTCAGCATATGGATGCTGTCCACACCCAGGCAGAGACCCTCCTGACTGGCCTGCACCCTGGGCCTGGCCAGACTTGGGTGGGAACCGATGAGGACATCACCCCCAGGTGCCCCCCCTCACACTGACTCAGGTGCCCCTCCCCAGGGTTCACAGAACAGAGGCTGGCTCTCTCTGCAGGGACCAGGGCAGCTTACCGAGGTTCCCAGGGTTCCCAGCCACCACAAGGGCCCGGGCCCCTGACTGCCCCTTGTGGGGGGAGCTCCCAGCCAGGGCGTGACACAGACACAGCCAGGAGCAGAGGGGGGAGGATTACACCTGTAGTCACAGCACCCTTTTTTGGCCATGGTTATGCAACCAGAATTGGACTGGCCACCAAGTTTTTGGTCTGCTTACTCCTGTCTTCGCTTCATACTACACCACGAGTGAATGTATCAATCTCTCTGTTCCTCTGGTGGTTAGCCACCCCGTGTCCTCTGTGCATGACACAGAATCAGAGGGAAAGACCTGGCCCATGTACTGCTTACTGATGGCAGTACCCTTCCAACTGGAGTATGCAGTCAGCAAAAGACACCTCTTCAGTCTTAAGCTAAAAGGAATGTTCCTTCTCCAGATATTTGCTAAGAAGTGTAGATTGTCATGCAGTAGATCCAACTCTCAGGCACATGGATTTGAGGCAAGTTGCCAGTTTCTTAAAAAGCTTTGCAATTCATTTCTTCAAATTCAGATGCCAGAGAAACTGGTACTCCTAACAGCCTTAGAAAGAACTCCAAAGTGAAGTTTTATTGTTGGGTTTTTCAAGGCCAGGTGTCTTCTATGGCAATGCCAAACTTTAAAACTAAAATGCCAGCTCTTTAGCTCTGGATGAGCACTTCCATTTAGGAATAAAACAAAACAACAAAACCTAAACACAACGGAGTTTGACACTAGAAATTAGAAAAAGTCTGGCTATTATTAGCAAAGACAGTGCTCTTTATTTAGCCCAATCACCACAATACCCTATAAGAACTAAATGTCCTTGAATTCACATATGCAACTACACAGCTCGAAGGTAAATGAGTCTCAGGTTGGCTAGATCCACCCCCATCCCACACCTTTACTGCTTGGGTTTCATAAAAGCAACATATCAAAAGGAGCACCAGTCCAGAACTACTGTAGGAATGGCTCTGCCTAGGCTCCACTTTCCCCTCCTCTTCACACACATTCCTGCACACACTTACAACTTCCTGGCATTCAGCATCACCAGCTAATGTGCTAAAGTGTTGATTATCATCTTCCCCACAGGAGAAATCTTGAGGGATATGCTGCTCATTTAAAGACTCACTGAAACATCTACAGATGAAAAACCCTCTGAAGAAAAGTTATTTGGCTGCTGAATCAGACAATTGCTTAAGCATACACTCAAACACATGCATAAAATGCAAAATATGCAGAATTTCCCAACAGCCAATGCCTGCCAAAAAAATGAAATAGGCACTGTATCCTTAAGACCACAATCTATAATAGTCAGAAATCTGTGCAAGTGGCAAGATCCAAAACATAACCAGGCTCCTTTACTTAGAACAGCAAGGACAGAGTCTCAGATGAGTATCTTGAAGTTACACTTGCTTCAAAAAGGGCAACTTGGAGGTACAGAACAGGTTCTGGAGCCTTCAACTCCTTCCCTTAAAACCCTAATCCTCAATCTTCAAGTGAGAATGAAAGCAGTAGAGCTGGAGGAAGACTTTCAGTAGCACTAAGAGTAAAGACACCAATTCTGTGAATTAAGCAGCAAGTGCATACTGCTAGCATCAGTACTTAGGTCAAATGGCAAATGCAGTTCACAATCCATTCCACTGAGAAGCAGACTATGAATCTCCCCACCAGATGAATCTCCTGAGCTAACCACTGGTACACAGCTCAAACACAAACCTTTTCAAAACAAAAAAAAAACCAAAGGAGCAAAAAGGTACTCCACACTACATTTCTTCAGCAAATTAGAAAAAAGGTCTACCGTGCTTAAGCCCAGAGCTTTCTGTGTCATTCCAGAATCTGGCTAGGTAAGAAACCTCTTTTTGCACACTTGGACTCCTCTGAACATGGAGAGGAGCGGAGGGATGAGAGATCGGCCTGAGGCATTTCAACATAGGTTAGTGTCCTTTTCTGCAGCTGGTCCCTCAACTGACATTTGAAAATACCTCTTACTCTCTTAACAGCTGGGTAAACAACTCCTGTATCTCTTGCTAAGCTCTGGACAACCACACCCATGCGCACTTGCAAGCATCAATCCCTGACTAGGCGGCTCTTGCTAAGTGGCAAGCATCAAACGCCACCCTCACCTGATGCTTGGCCGTCTCCATACCCTCCAGAATTGTCGTCTTGCAGTCCTCCTGCTTGCCCTGTGGAAGGAAAGAGGAGAACTCAGGGACCTTACTCCATAAGTTAAACCATACTGGACATAAAGGCCCGGCAGTTGGCGTTTTAGGTGTTAAATTTCACCAACTAACTAAACCCATCTTCTGACAACCCCCTCTTCAGGAATCTAGGTTCAGGGCACCAACCCCTGTGGTCTTCTAAAGTGTTACCCGTCTGACTGGAACGCTTTACATCAGACTTTATGGGAAATGAAGCACACAACATGTAGCATTCCTGGGGGCCAAATACTTATGATCAACTTCATTAATGGCTAGGTTTTGAATTACAAGAACACGCTTACTGCCAAGACCTGGTGGATGGAAACCATCAGATTCTGTGGATCTCAAACCATAAGAATTTGATAATCTTGCCCTTGGTACTCCCGAATCTCCCCATATGCAAGAGGATAGTTTGAACCATTCTGAAAACCCTCTTAGATTGAGGGGAGGGTCTTAATAGTTTTGTTTTGTGGGTTTTTTGGTTTTTTTTGTTTTTTTTGTTTTTTTTCTGTGTGTTTTTTTTTTTCTCCTTTTTTGACATAACCCCTTCCTTGAAGCTTGACCACAGAAACTTTTTTGAAAGGCTCAGACCACTTATTTTGGCTTCAGCGCCCTTGATCCACCAACAATGTTCTAACACACTAACACGACCTTTGAATTCAAGTATATGCCCATACCAGTGACACGATCCACACCCAGCACTGGAAGAGATTGGTTTTTCAGTGTATCCAGGGCTGGAAATAATGAGGAAAGGCAAAGCGCTCATCTAAAGATCTGAAGAAATCTCAGAACTACCTCAGCCTGCAC